TGCATTTACCCGGAACGCACAGAACCTTCCCGTTACAGCACCTGGCCAACTGCTCTGACATTTGTGATTGTGTGGCTGCGTGCTCATGGCCGCCCTCCCCCAGCAGAATGTAAGCCGGAGTGAAGCAGATTATGGCACTTTGTCGTTGAAAGAGGCTGATACCTGACCAACTCCCGACAGCCCCAGGACAGGTGCTATGTGCCTCCCAGTCGGAGGCCTCACTGCCCACCGAGGGGCAGCAGTGGCGTGACCTGGTGGCCCACTGAAGCCTTCCAGGGCTTCTCTATCAATACATAAGGAGAAGGTGTCCCAACTTGTCAAGAGATGCACAAAAGCATGGATCAGTTAGAGGAGAGATGCGAGGGGCCCTGTCCTCTGTGCTGGGCAGAGTCACTACCAAAGGTGTTGACTGTGGGGCCTGTGTGCGGGGCTGCCGCACCTCGGAGGGCCCCGGCCATGAGCCAGGGCGGAAGCTTCCATTTTCTCCTTTGGCTTACAGTCCCTGTGCACGAGGTCCTCACTGTGTCTGTGGGGTTGCAGCTCTAAAGGCTCCCAGGCTTTCCTGACCTCCTGCTTGGACTGCTGCAGCTGGTCTCCCTGGCTGCAGGCCTGCCTCCCGCTGCCTGCCCTCTGGGTTCTGGCCCTCCCGGTCTGAAGCCTTGGCTGGCTCCCCTGCCCTAACGGGAGGAGAGCATGACTTTCCTGACCATCCCCCGCTCCGTTGGCCTCTGCCGGGGCCTCACAGTGTGAACAGGCCCACCTCCAGTCCTCTGCTTGGCCCACAATGACCTGCCTCCCTTCTGCACAGCAAACTCCTACACATCCTTGAAGGCCCAGCTCCAGCTGCCCCTTGACCCCAGCAAGCTTCCCTGTGTGCTCCCCCAGACCACCTTCCTGAAGGAACCACCGTGTTCTAAGCTGCTGGTGTGAGATTTGAAGGAAAGAAGGTGAAGGTTTCTCAGATGTGACAATAGTGGTGAATTCCACAAGGGCATGAAGCCGAGGCCTGGAGCCCCCAGACCCAAAGAAGGCCAAGGTCGGGGGGGCCCACAGAACACTGAGGAGGGGTCTTCCCTCCCTGCTAAGAGCCTGGTGGTCATTGAGCAGTGAAGCTTGGGCTCTAGACAGGATGGACCTCTAGAGATCACTTGGTCTGATTTTCCTTTGACAGGTGGGGAAACGGAGGCCCGGAGTGGGGAGGTGGTGTCATCGAGGCAAGACAGTCCTGCCTGGGAGGCGGGAGCCTGGTTGTGGGGTCCTCTTCTGTTCTGGGCGACTTTCCCCCACCTTTCTGAAGCTCTGTCTCCTCACATGTGAAATGTGGACAACTGTACCCATCTTGAGCTCCACAGGGTTGTTGAGAGGGTTAAATGAGATCCTGGATGCCAGGGGAGCTTGGTGACCAGTGTAGGGTCATTGTCATCATGGTTGACATCGGCCAAGCATTTGCTGTGTGCTGGGCCCTTGGTGTGTTACTTCATTCAGTCTTCACAACGGCCCAATGAGGTTGGATCTGTTAATTTCCCCTGCTTTATAGAGGAGGAAACTGAGGCCCAGAGTTGTTGAGTGAGCTGATGAAGGTCACAGAGCCAGGAAAAGGCAGAGCCAGGATTAGAACCCAGGCAGTCTTGCTCGTAGCCTCTGTGCCAAACTGAGAGCCCCTGAGGTTCAGTGGGAGCACATGGGCTTGAGCCTGGGCCATCTCCTGCTTCCTGATCTGGCGAGGCCAGGTCTGTAAATAGGCAGCTTCCTTAGGGAGTGAGGCCCTGGCCTCCCACATCCCATGAGGTGAGGGCTCCTACACCCAGGGAGCTTCCATGTGACACTTCAGAGAGTCAGACACCATCCCAGAGTCCCCAGCAGGTAGCTGGGCCAGCTCCTAGGTCAGCTGCATGCCTGGAAATGGGCAACCTCCCCTTACCTAGAGTCCCCTTATCCAGAATGCATCACTCTCACAGGGCATCTCACAGGATGGGAGCCCTGCACTGAGGGCCCCACCATGCTACTACTCTTAGCCCACCAGGTAGAGTGGGTCCTTGTAGGTTCAGTTCCTCCACTGAGGGGCAGAATGGGGTGGCGGTTAGAACCTGGGCAGTGGCATCACATAAACTGGTTTGAATCCAGGCACATAAACCAGATCACACTCATTGCCACTGAGTTGGTTCCAACTGCCCCATCAGGTTTCCAAGGCTGTGAGTCTTTATGGAAGCAGACTGCCTCATCTTTTTCCCACGGAGTGGCTGCTGGGTTTGAACTGCTGACTTTTCAGTTAGCAGCTGAATGCTTTGACCGCTGTGCCACTAGAGATCCTCCAGGCACATAGTAGGCAATAGTAATGGTACTAGTGGCACTGTCATCTTAGAGTGATCTGTTCTGGAAGTCCTGGTTGACTTAGGCATTCATTCATTCATTCAACGAATAGTTCCTGGCACCTGCTAGATGCCAGGGCTGTTAGATGTTGGGTTAGAGACGTGAGCTAAACCGACACACCTCCCTGCCCTCTGGTCCTTAAATCCTAGTGGAGGAGGCAGATGACCAAGGAGATAAGCAAGGTACGCTGGACTGTGATCAGTCCTATGGAGAAAAATAAATCAGGAAGGAGGGATGGGGTGGAAGGAGTTTCCATCACATATGTGACGGCCAAGGAGGGCTCACAGGGAAGGTGCCATCTAAGCAAAGCCTGGAAGGAGGTGAGGGAGAGAGCCACGGGGCAGCAGCTGCGACACCACCTCTTCGCAGGAAGAACAGGTAACGCCAGTGATTTCTCCAGCATCTCCTGTCTGCTGTGGATGGGACACTAAGCTAGGAGTAAGGGGGACGGGACAGTGGGCGTAGAGAGGCCTCAGGCCCCGACCTGCAGGGGCAGCCACCCATGTTCCAGGACACACCCATGCTGACGTCAGGTCAGTGTGAGCTGTGCCCTGAGTGGCCAATCTAGTGCCAAGGGATGGACGGAGGTTGAGTCCACCTGAAAAAGGGCAGGAGAGAGGCTTTGCAGAGGAGGAAGCATGTGAGCAGGGCTCTGTGAAGCCAGGCAGGGTCCCCCCAAGGGCTGGAGCATGGTGGGGGACACTGGCTTAGCATGGCCTCTACAGGGGGCAGAGGTGTGTGTGGATCTTTGCACCCCTAGAAGCCAAGGCCAATTAGGGGTGGGGGATGAGTAAGCATACGTAAGTAACTAACTCCCTGAGAGTAGACTTGAAGGAACCCTGCTGGCACAGTGGTTAAGCGCTCAGATGCTAACCCAAAGGTTGTCGGTTTGAGCCCACCAGCCACTCTGCAGGAGAAAGACATGGCGGTCTGTTTCTGTAAAGGTTGACAGCCTTTGAAGCCCTACGGGGACAGTACTCTGTCCTATGGGATTGCTGTGAGTGGGAATTGACTCCATGACAGTGTGTTTTTTCAAGTAGACTTGAGACGCGCACATTTGTGTGCAGGACATCAGGGAGGCTTCCTGGAAGAGGTGGTCTCGGAGCTGACAGGAACGAAGCTGCTCCACGGCAACGCAGAGTGGCCTTTGCTAGAGCCGCCGGATGCCCAGCCCTGTCAGGAAGTGCCTCTGACGGGGCAGCTCCTTGGCGCCGGGAGCCAGAGGGCCGGGCGGCTGTGCCCCTCCTGCGGGCTGCGCTGTCTGTGAAGAGGGGAGAGGAGGAGCTAGGGCACTGATGGATAGGCTGCGGCTCAGCACTGTCACCGCGAGCCCTCCACACGCTGGAACCTGACACCCTGCCCGCTGAGGCATAGAGAACAGAGAATTGGAAGCTCAGCCTGTCAGCCTGGGAGTGGCCCCCAGAGAGGGCTGCGGAGGAGTGTGTGTGTGTGTGTGTGTGTGTGTGCACGTACACTGTCCGCCACACTCGTGCTCCATCTGTAGCTGCGGGGGGGTGGGGGGGCGGGGAGGGGGCCTGCCAGCCCAGGGAGGGGGTGGCCCCTCAGGCCCGCCTCATTGTTCCTGCCCCACCCTGCAAAGCCCCCGGGACCCCACTTTGGCCCTTTATGTGCATTCTTGGAGGGACCCCATGTAGACATGCTTGGGCTGGGGGCGACCTCATGGGGCCGTGTAGCTCCTGTCATTGCCGCCAAGGAAGAGCCCACGTGCTTTGTAACCAGGGGTTTCGAATGCCACTCACACGCAGCCAGCCACCTTCCCTCCCTCCGTGTCCCGCTCCAGGACCTCCATGGACACAGCCTGTGCCAGGCCAAACCCTGCCCTCTGGGAGCCCCAGAGCCGAGGCAGCGTGAGGGTAGGAGCTGAGAATCCCAGTCTGCGTGAGCTGGTGGGTGGTCAAGGCTCCTCCCAGGGCCGAGAGCAAGTGCACAGGAGGCTGTCCGTGGGGCCTCCGCCTCCAGGGACAGCTGGGCTCGCCCTTCCCACCTGAGGGTGCCACGGGTGGCCACCAGCAGTTCCTTCCCTGGCGCCTGGAAGGCCCCAGCCGTCCCCGTCTGTGCTCACTCAGCGCTTTGCTTGTCCCTTCATTTCAGCAAAGCGCCATCTGCCTCCTCTTGGCAGAGGATCTGGGTTTATGTCTCATCTCTCCGACTGGAGCGTTCCCTCGTAGAACCACGGTGCAGGGACCAGACTAGAACTGAGGTCACCTTCGGCTTCTCTGGTCCAGAGCCTCTCAGGGAGGATGTGGGCATTGGGACTAGATCCATGCTGGGCTTCTGGGGTGGCCTGTGAAAGGCCTGTGAGAGACCTTGGGCATTGGTCGCATCACTTGTAAAGTGGGCCGGTGACCCCAGGGAATACTTGGCACGTGGAAACTCCAGAGTACACCCGAGAGGCTGGTCACTTTCTCTGAAGCAGAAATGGATTTGGGGTAAAGGCAGACAGTGCCAGTGACGACCGTCCACTTAGTAAGGACGCGGCCCCCACTTGCCTTCTTCGGTTCTGCAAAGCACCTGCAGTCCCTGGCGCTCTGGCTGCCTGGGACCCAGGGCTTTTTCTGAACCTGCTTTGATGTTTGCCTCCTGTTTCTCTCTCTCCCCATGACATGCAGGGAGTGAGTTTTCCGGGAGTCCCTACAGCCACCCTCAGTATTCTACGTACAACGACTCTTGGAGGTTCCCCAACCCAGGGCTGCTCGGTGAGTACTGCAGAGGCCTGTGTGGGCCCTGGGCCATTCAGGGACCCTCATGGGGCCCCTTCGTGGGGCTAGGGTCCCTTGACATCCTGAGGTCTGGTCACGGATGTGGGTGGGTAGCTGGCCCCAGACACATAGAATGTGGGGGCTGTAATAGGGGCCCTGAGGCTTTCATCTCCTCCCGGCTGTTTTTGGAAGACATTTTATGGCAAGAAGGGGAATAGCGAAAGAAAAGGAGATTGAGGAGGAAAAAGGAAGGTAGGAAAAATGCCTGACCTGTAGTTCTACAAAATCATTACGTGTTCATATAAGAAACCCATAAATCAGAGGGAGCAAAGAGGCCAACCCAGGTTGATGGGTAGTGGCTGCTTGGAGAGGGCTCTTGATGAGGACTCTGAGGCTGGAGATTGATTAGTGATGTCTGCCCTGGACACCACCAGAGCCAGCTGCTTTGCAAACTCGTTGTCTTGTAGCTGAAGGGCTGCCAAAGCCCGGCGTTCAGGGCACAGCTGGTCCATGGCTGGGGCTAGCATGAGCTGGGAACGTCATCAAGACACTTGGGCCACCCCAAAGGCCAAACAGGCCAATCTAACCCCAAAAAGGCCAGAGAGAGGCTTTTGTTTTGTTGGAATGAACTTGCAAGAAACAGGCGGGCAAGGGATAGCTAAAGCTGACGGCCCTGGAGCAGGAAGCAGGGCCCTGGCTCACAGATGTCACTCACCACCTGGGGGGTGGAGCTAGCCAGTTGCCTGCAGGCAGCAACGCTGATCCCTCCCCCAGTGGCCAGCTGAGTATTTCCACAGTTAACGGTCAGACGTGGAAGGGCCCTCTGAGACCATGCAACTTTGTCCAGCTTAACAGGCCTAAGTGAGAAGCTGTTAATTCCTGCACTCAAAAACTCTCACTGCCGTCGAGTTGGATGCGACTCAGAGCAGCCCCTCCTTGGGTTTCCGAGGAGGTATCTTTACAGAAGTAGGTTGCCCAATCTTCTTTCCAAGGAGTGGCTGGTGGGTTTGAACTGCCAGCCTTCTGGTTAGCAGTCAAATGCCTTAGGCACTGCACCACCAGAGCTCCTGGCATCCTTAATTATTTTAGGACCGAGAAGCACAGGCTTCGTGAGAACTCAATGACCTAATGTCTTCTAACTCGAGTTCCAGGCCATGGGACTGTGAGGGGGCCATGAATCTCAGCTTGGCTCCTTCCCACACCTGCTTTGGTATGGACACCATCCCTGTCTGGTTGCTGCCATTCCATGCACTTGGGCCTTGCCTGCCAGAAACATTGTGTGTGTTGTGCCTACCTTGTGGATGAAATAAGGAACAATGACAATTAGTGCTCCAGGGCCCTGTACCTGGGAGATTTCCAGTCTTCTCTCACAAGCCTGGGCTCTGACCATCTGTCTCCTCCCTCGAGGGGAACGGAATCTGTGGACTGATATCTCAGACTTCTTTTTTGGTTTTGGTTAAAATCACTTCTAAGTATTAAACTAGAGTCTCCTTGGCCCAAATGTTTTTCCTTAAACTAGCGCCCCGAGAGGTCTCACTCTGAGTTGGCCCTGCTTCCAGTCTCAGGAAGCAGGAGCCAAAGGCTGGTCCTGACCCAGGGTCTCCTAGCACAGAGTAGGGGAAAGGTGAGGAGGCCGGGGGAGGTGGGGCCTGGGCCTAGGATCCCTCCCTAAAAATTTCCCTCAGACTGGACCACCCACAGGAGATGTGGCATGAAGGAGTTTGGATGGAGATATAACCTCAAGGAGGCAGTGCTGCCCAGACAGTATGTAGTTCTGTGCAGTGTCTGAAGGGGGCAAGTTGGGGCTTGAAACCAGCCCATGTGTGGCACAAAGCCACAAGGCTGTAGCTGCCCAGAGGGGCCACCTTTTTCTGGTCATGAGGTGTGCTCTAGGTTGGGAGTGACCCTCATTTGCCTGGGAATTCAGGAGACAGAGAAGGGAAGCAGGGGCCACCTGGGCAGATGCAGCAAAGGGATGGGGTAGGAGGTGGGGTCCTAGCAGGAATGCCAGTCTGAGTGCGCCTGGCTGTGTGGGAAGCTGGGGCCAACGGGGACAGGGAGGGAGGGTGGACCGAGACGACCCGCGAGGCCTCTGGGTGAACTCCCCCTGCCTGCCTTTTGGTTGTCAGTGTTAACCGTGTTCCCCACCCAGCCAGCCACAGCCAGCTACTGTACAGGTGAGTCCAGCTCCTGGCGGCCCCACGTGCTGCAGGGTAGGGCTGCGCTCTGTCGGGTTCTCGTGGCTGCGAGCTTTCGGAAGTAGGCTTTCTTCCGAGGCACTCCGAGGTGGGTTCGAACTGCCAGCCTTTTTGGTTAGCAGCTCTGCCCTTAACTGTTGGCATCACCCAGGGGTTCCTACCCTCCAGCCGGGGCTGTGGAAACCTGTTCTGAGGTTCCTTGGTGCTCCTACTAGAGCTATAGGAGTGTGGAATGAGGTGAGACCCACTCACACACACACACAATCACACCCACACTCACCCACAACACACTCTCACATTCACACACACTCACGCAGATGTACACACACTCACACACACATTCATACACTCACACACACACGCACATTCATACACACACTCACATCACACCCACACACTCATACACACACTCACCCATGGGCACTCCTGTCCTCACAGACCCCAGGTCCACTCTCACACCCTGTCGCCCCCACTGCCAACACCTGGGCCACCTGCTGGAAGCCAGAGTGAGGAGCACAGCAGAGCCGTCTAAGGAAGCAGGGTCCACACCTGCTCACGGTTTATGGGGCAACTTCCCCACTCTGTGCCCGTCCACTGGCCAGGGCTGCAGTGACTCAGCGTCCCGGCGCTGCTCTGGGCTGGCCTGGAGGCAGGAGGGATGGGAGGCCCCACAGTCAATTAGGGTTAGAGTGGGCCCCCCCAGCCTCTGTAAGGGGATTAGTGAAGGAGTGGGACCCCGGCATGACCGTGTCAGGAAAGAAATTGGTGATAATGTGAGTTAGAGACGAGGAATGACAGAGGAGAGGCAAGCTGACTCTTGGCGGAGGCCTAATGGGCACCAGGCAGACAGGGCTTTGGGAGGTGTGTTCTCATCGCTCAGAGTAGATGCAAGCGTTTCGATTTCACCGTGGGCCCGGTTCTGAGAGCAGCGACACACACTGGACAGCCTGGCAGACACTAAGCTTTGGCACGGAAGTGAATCAGAGGCCGAAGTAGCTTGGGCTGGGGGATCGGGGCCCTCCCAGTAGCCTTCTCTTCCATTTCCTGTCCTTGGGGCCGTTTGTGGGGACAGCCAGTGTGGTCTTTTCCAGAACAGTGGCTCTGTCTAACCATGTGCCATTTCCGGGCCTGCAGGGATGGCCCCTCACACACACACCTCTCCCCCAGGCCTATCTGTGGCGGCAGATGCTCTGTGGGAGCCTGTCCTGAGGCTGTCCCCATCCCACAGAAGAGCCAGCGGAGGGAAGCTGACAGGGCTCTCTGAGTCAGCGCTCCCGGAGGGTAGGTGGCAGATGGGGCCTCAGAAAAATCCACTTGTGGGGATGCTTAGCAGGGGTGGTGTCTGTGCCTCAGGACCGGCACAGGGAGGCCACGCCGGCTCCGTCACCGTCCTTGCTGTCGGAGGCCGTGTTGCCTGGCTGAGGGGTGGAGGGCAGGGAGTGCTGCATCTGCTCCTCAGGGCTGGGGTTGGAGGGAAGCAATACATGCCCCAGTATCTTCCCTGGTCCCGCCTCTTGACTGCATACCAGCTTCTGCTGGAGGAAGATGAGGCAATCAACTTCCATGAAGATTTACAGCCTTGGAAACCCAGTGGGGGTCACTATGGGTCGGAATCCACTGGGTGACAGTGGTTTGGTTGTTTTGGGTTTATGTGACCTTGGGTACATTCCTTAATTTTTCTGTGCCTCAGTTGCGTCTGTAAAATGAGGACAGTGGCAGTTCCTATCTGGTAGAATAGTGGCCGTGCTGGTGGCTCAGGGCTGGAGTTCTCATCTTCCGTGACGGAGACTGGGTTTGATCTCTGCCAACGCGTCCTGTCAGCCACCCCCGCCTGTCATGGAGATTTGGGTCTTACTGTGATGCTGACAGGCTTTGTGGGGCTTCCAGACCAAGACAGACCAGGAAGAAGGGTGCCTCTCAGAAACCTCATCCCAAGGTCTAGTCGAGGGAAGCAGGCTGGAGGCTGTGGGAACCAGAACTGGACATGTGGGCCCTCACATTGGCCCTGTCCAGATGCCGTTAGATGGAGGTTTGTGCCCTGCCCTTCTCCCAGCTCCACACAGACCCCAGTCTCGCCTGTCCTTCAAGCCCAGCCCAGAGTCCCATCTTCTAGGAAGCCCACTCCTGTCACAAGTCTGCCTTCCCCTAGAACTCTTTCCTCAGCGCTCTGGCCTTCTTGAGGCTGAAATTTGCCTCATTATTACCCAGTCCTGCACCCAATAAGGAGGGAAGGTTGGGCAACTACTTCCGTAGTGATACTGCCTCGGAAACCCAAGGAGGGGTCACTGTGAGTTGGGTCCAACTCGACGGCACATAACAACAACAACAGCAGCACCCAATAAAGGAGCTCTGGGTGGCGTAGTGGGTACAGCATTGGGCTGCTGACCAGAAGGTCGGTGGTTCAAATTCCTCAGCTGCCCCACATGCAGGAAGGTGAAGCAGTCTACTCCCGTAAAGACCCACAGCCTTGGAAACCCAGTGGGGGCCACTGTGAGTCAGAATCCACTCGATGGCAGTGGGTTGGGTTGCTTTTTTTGCATCCAGTAGTGAGTGAATTAGTGAATGAATAAATGAATGGGCGGAGTCCTTTACTGTGCTTCCCCAGTATTTGCTGAATGAATGAATGAAAATAAGCACCAGAGCCGTTGTTCACTCACTTACCGAGCCCAGCCGAGCACATTCATGCATCAGACCCCAGGCTGGGCACCGGGGCTCAGCCCCCAGCACAGTGGGGCCAAGCCTCTGTCTTTGCAGGGGACGGGGGGTCACAGAAAGACACGATTGCCCATGCACTGCAACCTGCACAGGAGGGTCAGCAGCTCGGGGGGCTTCCAGAGGGGGGACAGGAGCACTGGGGCTTGAAGGTGGCATCAGAGTTTGACAGAGAGGAAGGGGAGCGGACACAGGGCTGTGCCAGGCACAAAGCACAGAGTGAGGCAGGGCACAGAGCAGGTTGATGGTACCCACCCTGCCAAGGCCGTTCTGAGATTTCAATGAGAAAGCGTATATAACGACAAAGCAGCGTCAGACAGAGGGATTGCTCAGCTCACGGTCATTGCTGTTAGCATTGTGGTGCGTCCAGGAACTGCAAGGAGTCCATTCTCTGGAGGGTGGTGTGTGGTGTGGGAAGGAGAGGTGGTTGGTATGGGATGTAAACCCAGGGAGCCAGGCAGGGGCCATGCCACCAAGCAGCCGCAGGCCAAGGTTGCAGGTGAGGACCTGCCACCCTCTAGGTCAGAGCCTGGCCAGTGTTTTCTGTCAAAGGCCAAACTGTAAGTATTTTAGGCTTTGTGGGCCATCCGGTCTCTGTCACGACCACTCAGCTCTGCTGTTTTAGCAGAGCACAGCCAGCCAGCGATGAGAAGCAAAGGAACAGTGTGGCTATGTCCCGGTGACCACTTCATTTAAAAAACAAGAGGTGGGCAGGGTTTGGTCTGAGAGCCCCAGGTGATGAGGATGAGACCTTGGGAGCGGGCAGCGGCCTTTGGGGAGCACCTGGGTCAGAGATCTTGGTGAAAGAGGATGGTGGCCTGGACGGGGTGAGGCAGAGGAAGGGACAGAGGTGGGGAGATGGTGGACACCCTCCAACCTTGGTGCCCCTTCCATGTCTTCCAGGCTCCCCCTACTACTACACGGCCGCTGCCCGAGGAGCCGCCCCGCCTGCAGCCGCTACTGCCTATGATCGTCACTGACCCTCAGAGACAGGCGGGCGCCAAGCACTTACGACACATATCATTGAGGGCGAGAGCCTCCCGGCCCCCACCAAGACAGCCAGAGGGGCCCGACACAACTGTTCCCAGCCACCCCTACTCACCTGAATTCCCTCCCTCCCTCTTCCTGCCAGAGCCTCTGGGGTCCTACGGCAGTGCTGCTGGGCTCTGGGTGTCTGTCCACACCTAGTCATCAGCGAGACTGTCCCAGCTGCGCCCGGCTCTCTGCAAACCAACAGACAACTGCAGCCCAGTGCAGCCTGCCAGCCCCCCACTGCCTGACTGCGCCGTCCTGGCCACCCCAGGCTGGAGGGCGAGCTTGCTTTGGGTGCTTCAGCAGCACCCCTGTAAATACCTACTTACTTGTCTTTGGGCCTGAAGGTCCAGCCGAGCAGACTGCCCCCCCATCACGCGTCCTGTGCTCGTGGTGCGTCACAGAACGTCTGGGACCTGTGTGCAGAGTGTCCCCTGCGCCTGGGTGCTGCCCTCGGATGGGCTCCGAGTGTCCTCGAGACCGGGATGCCCATGGTGGGGCCCCGGCCCCCTGCTCATCTCTGCTTCTCTCCTGTCTTCACCAGGAGTCACATGTGCTGTGCTCCCAGCTGCCCCTGGGGCCCCTCGCCAGGCGCAGTGCAGTGCCACCGTCTCTCTTTCAGATCAAAGGACTCAACGAGAACTGTCTAGGACATTCCTCAGCCACTGCTGTAAGGAAGGATGTCATCCAGGCTATTGACTGCATTGCAGACTCTTCGTGTCAGCACTCAGTGGGACACAGGGTCACCGGGCCAAGCCAAGGAGTGGCTGGAGCCTCGCTCAACCCTCTCAGCCCCCAGAACTGCTGAATTGGGCTGGGACGGGCTTTCTGAGGCATACCCAGGCTCGAAATTACGTTGGACACCCTCCATGGGCCATGAAATTTTTGTAGGAACACACCCTCTGACCCCAGTGAGTGGATTCTGGGCAGGCTTGTCCCAGCCATATAGACAACGTGGATTTCTCCTGTGCCAAGGCCACAAGCACCCCACAGCAGTCAGCCAGGACTTCCTGAGTGCCACCTCGGGGAAGCCCCTCCCCAGCTTCATGGAGTTTAGCATGCATCTGGGAGTAGAGGAGGTGGGGTGGGGAGCAGATGCCTAACCTCACCACGTGGGTGCCTAACTGTTGGTACAGGCGGTCATGATGGTCAGGGCCATAGCCAGGGGCATAGGAGCACAAAGAGGGAGCTTGGAGAACTCACTGTGGCTGGAGGGGTCAGAAAAAGCCACGTGGGGGGAGAGAAGGAGGCCTCTTGGGAGAGGGGCAGGGTGAGCAGTACGTCTGAGAAACTGGTGTGGGAATCGGAAGTGGTTTTGATAACGGCAGTGCCAGGGGCCACAATCTCTTTGCGGCCTTGATTCTTTGCACAGTCTTGTGCACTCCAGACAGCTGGGTGGAGGCCCTGTCCAAGCTTGAGAAATGTCTGAATGGTAGCAATGACGGTGGGCTTTGTAGTCAGTCTCCTGACAGCGCCCCTGAGGTCTGCATTGACCAGGTGAGTGGAGAGCTGGGCAGAGAACCTGGGTTTGGGGTTCTCAGGCCTGGGGGGTCTTGTCCTGGCTGCATCCCTGCCCTGCTGTGGGACCACAGACAAGGCCCTGCACCTCTCTGTGCCTACAGCAGGGTCACCTGACAGCTCTCCCTCCCAGGAACTAAGGCTGTGACAGGGCCTAGGACAGGCCTCTTCCTGGAAGGAAGCTTATGGGGGTGGGCACGTGGGTCCTACCATTACTTGGACCAAATGAGAAACAAGAAGAGCCAAGGGGGTGGGAGTTAGAAGGACATTAAAAAAACCTACCGTAATGCCCTTCGGGGAAACTAAGGCCCAGCTTGGGGAAGCCTGGGCCCACGTACTAAGACTTATGCCCGCCACCAAGTGCTTTGTCCCCCAGCACCCCACAAGTTGGTGGGGCAGAAGAGGGAACTGGGGTTCCACAAGGTGGGGTTCCCAAGCAGTGACTGGCAGAGGTAGGGCTGGGACCTAGCACCTGGTGATCCCTGCCACCCCATCTGTCTACCTCCCATCCATGGGGTGGGAGATTGACAGTGAGGGCTGCAAGAGCTGGTTCTGGTCCCTTGGGTCTGTTAGGACTACAGTGCAGTCACCCAGGCCAGAGGTGGAGCCCAGGCGGCAGCTGCCAGCTGGCACTCTCACCTCCTGGCGGCCTCCTGGGCAAAGAAAGGAGGTAGCCAGTGCAGAGCCCTCCTCCAGGAGCCTCCACCTGACAGGTAGCCACCAAGCAAGGTAGGAGACAGCCCCTCTCTTCCTCCCTCCTTCCCTTCTGCAGGAAGCAGTGGGGTTAGGGGTCTGCAGCACCCTTTGACCCCATGCCCGCTGCCCACCCCTCTCCTGGGATGATTGCCCCACATCTTTGGATCCAGATCCTGGTGGTTTTGGGCTCGGGGAGGTCAGCCTTCCCTGAGCCAGCTGCCTGAGTCGCACCCATTCTTCCCCACAAACCCCATGTGAGGCCACAGCGACCCTCCATCCAGCCCCTTCCTCCTCTTAACCCTGTAATGAGCCGCCCCTCCCCACCCCGTATCCTTCCTCTCTCACCTGGGGCTTTGCTGGTCCTTAGACTGGATTTGTATGTATGAGACAGCCACTCGGTTCCTGGGCTGCCAGGCAGAAGCACAAGAGCACAGAGATGCACACGCATGTTGCACACCCACAGACCTGCTCTCACCAGTTGCGAGTTCCCACGCCGCCTGGCGGAGCGGGCGAGGAGCTGGTGAGAAGGCTTCCAGGGCACACAGGCCGCTGAGTAGCAGCAGAGACTCCAAATGGAGGACCCAAGTCCAGGATCTCACCAGCACCGTGGCAGGGGGCCTGGGGCGCCCTCCATGGAGCTTCAGCTCCGTGTCCCGGCTCTGACTTTTTGAAAAGGACATTGTGAATTTTATGAACATTTTTCATACCATTAGTCTAGCTGCAACCTAGCAAACTCTGATGACATATCAAACCCAACATCCCTTTCCCCAGGCGCCTTAGTTGGGGTCAGCCCTTTAATAACTGCTGTTTGTATGGTGCTTTACAAACTTTTACCACACCGTGGGCAGAGGTCACACTCCCATTGTACAGATGGAGAAACTGAGGCTCAGGGCTCACACGGCAAGATAGAGGTGAAATGAATTCTCAGTCTCCGGGCCCATCTTCTCTCCACAGTATCATGTTTCTGCCATGACAGTGTGTGGTTTAGAGACACCCCCAGTCCCCTAGAAACCCTTCAGACTCATACTGAGGGAAAACAGAGCAGGGGCCCAGGGGCTGGCCTGAAGGAGAGACCTGAGGCTTGGTGGCTTTGCTGGTCTGACTGGATTGCCATTAACACAGAAACTTGAGTCTTGGCCCAAAATCATAGCAATCCTTTGGAAGTTTCATCCTGACTCATTCCCTGCTGTGCCCTGAGGCTCAGGGGGGCATTTGGGGCTTTCCAAGGCCGTGCCGCCATCGTGAGGGGCCTGTCTTTCAGGGCCCAGGGTTCCTGGGTCCTTCCTGCTGTGAACAGATGCCAGGCCCCGATGTGAGAAGCAGATGTTCCCGAGCCAGAGCGCGAGGGGGCCCACAGGACTGGGAAACACAAATTCCAATCTCTCCCAAGGCCTGAGCTCTGGACTCACAGGTCAGGCAGGTGGTGGCCCCTTGCTTCTGATTGCCCCACTGAGAGGCACTCAGGCGTGAAAACTTGAAAAGTTCTGCCAAAGATGTCAGTTGGCCAAATTTCACTGGCCACCAGCTTGCACCCGGCCTGTGCCTCAGGTGACCAGCAAGTCAGTGGCAAAAATTAATAACCTGCCCCCCTCGCACCCCCCATCTTGGGCTATGCAGATGGTTTGGTCTTTGAAGGTAGGGTGGTGTATGTAGGACGTCGCGTGTGGCAGGGGTAGGGGGGCCGTTGGCTTTTAAGGGGAAGAAAATGGGGACCTTTTCACGTGTACAGGAAAGAGTCCCAGATGTGGCCTGCAGGGCAATGAGGGGTGAAATCCCTTTATGAGAAGTCAAGGCAGCTGTCCTGCCTTGAGCAGTCTGTGGTTCCAGCACCCCAGCCCCCTTTCTGGATGACATTTCGGTTAGAATTTAGCACCGAGCCATGGGCACAAGTCTTGAAAACAAAGCAAGCTTCTGATAAGTAGGTGGAAACGAGATCTGTGACGCAGCTGCCAGGAGGGTAGAGAAAGCCCAAGCCCTTGGACCGACCAGGCTTAGACTGGTGTGGGTGGGCCCTCCATAGAGGCCAGCCCTGGCCCTGTCCCCTGCCTGGGACCCCAGCTCTGATGGCTTCCAGGCAGCAACCAGTGCTCCTGGACAATTTATTCCTCTAGATCCTTTGACCTCAGAGAAGTCCAAGGCAAGTGCATATCTTAAAAGGTACCAGAGCACATTATTGGAAAGTTGGACAGTTCCGGCCACGACTCCTAGCCCACAGCCTGCCCACCTCCTGGCAGCCCCTTCAGCCCCTTGTCCCCGGATCTCAGGGGTCCATCTTGCATATTCATACAGAAACCACAGTGTTTATCCACACATCGCCACTGTCAGCTCCTGGCTGCACCTCCAGGTCCCAGGGGGCCAGCCACAGGACTGCAGAGACTCCCCTGTCTGGGAACAGGCAGACCCAGCCTCCCCCTCACTGGCGGTTCCTGGGCACTCAGGCCCTGCTCCGGGATGCCCCAGGACCCTAGGGGACCTCAGGGCGCGTCATTGTAGAGTTCCAGCCCCCATGGTCCCAGGAGCCCGTTTAGCTAGTCTGAGGGTTGAGGACCACCATCCGGTAAGTCAGCTCTCCTTTTCACGTCTTAGAGCACTGAGGAGCACGGGGGG